ACACACACACACACACACACACACAGACACACAGACACACACACAAACACACACACACACACACACACACATCCCAAGGAAGGCAAGGATGAGCAAGATGGAGCAATCTTCAACAACAGGTCAACTTATAACAAAAACATCCCTTATGCCACAAAATTTGAGAAGAACGATATAATTACACATCTTATCCCTTCATTCTTCGTAATTGTGTAATTCTAGTGATATATCTACAACTTTTATCCAAACTGCTGACTCAGTCATATGAAGGTCAGTTTCAACGTAATACTGGGAAAATGAATATCAGGCAGAGATGTGTCGGCGGTTACTGTTAACACTTCGCCGTCACTTAGCGACTTAGCGCAGTAATGTGATGGTGACAATTTTTCCGTTTCGGTCACCTAACGCACTTCTGCACCAGGCCTGAGAAGTCCGTTGCAGTCACTCTCCTGGCTGGGTGACCAGATGGGGTATTTTGTACTGTTGGCTGGGTGACCAGATGGGGTATTTTGTACTGTTGGCTGGGTGACCGCAAAGTGTTCAGCAATAATTATCAAAGTACACCAGTCTGAAGTCCTGCATCTGGGCATAAGTAATCACTTTCTCCTCGGTGTTTCCTTTCTGTTGCTACATCTACATCACATTGCACAGCTGTGCCGGGGGGGTAGAAAGTAGTTCCTTCTGCCTCCCATCATCTCCAAAACGCTACCTTAGACAAGTTCTATCTGACATTTTTGGCCAGTTTGAGTTACTAAGACCACGGGGTCAAAAACCAAATGTTCCAATCTGTTCTATCAAAATCGTTTTAAATATTCGGCGTCGTTATCGAGATATTCAAAGAATTGCATTTGAAAAAGCTTGACACGTTGTGAAACTAAGAAACTTCGACGTCAAATTTCTCAAAACTAGGTACTGAGTAGATAGAACTTTGTCATTCTGAAGTAGCAAAGAGTCAATGCCGACAATATATTTATCCATCACACATCATATTAGGGTCATGAATTGGTCCTTAATATTTGTTTTAGGTTACGTCACTGAAACGAACATTCTGGTCACCCAATAAAGACTGAAGACGCGCTGTTTTGGGGTGGTCTCAAAAAAAGGAAGCATAGCCTCATCCCTCGTTGTTCATACACAGCTTCTTCCGTTCTGTTTTAACTGAAACTTGAAAAGGCAGACAACAGTATTCATATTCGTACTATGAAATAAGCAAACGTCCATTTCTGATGTGTGTATAATGGTTCAAAATGTGCCATAACATGATTGCATTTGGTCAGCTGCAGATCAGATAGAGTATGTGTCCACTTCATCCTTACAAAGCCACTTCACATTTCGGCACTTGCATGACCAAAATGGAGTCAATAGTGCCCTAAAACATCCACTCAATCAAAAAAGAGCCAAGTCTATCATTTCCAATACTTCCATTGTCTAATCTACGACAGCAGACTGCTCGCTATAATTTTATCTTGGAGCCAATTTAACTGAGCAGAAGTAAAGAGGTCGTGGATTCTGTCTAAAACTCGTCATCATCTCGCGGGGTGTCAAAGTGGTCTCCTCTTTCATCTTCTGCCTCATCTTCATCTTCATCTTCGTCGCCTTTGTCAAATGAGAGGTCCACCGGCTCGTAGATTTCCGTCTCCTCTTGGAAAGACACATGCTTGGACGGACCTCGGGACTCGGATCTTTTTCCGTCAAAGAAAGCCTCATCATCCATTCCTTCTTTCTGTTCTCCTCCTTCATTTTCCTCCTCAAACTGGATCTCTCCTTCCTCTACCTCCTCCTCCTCCTCCTGGTCAAGATTCAAAGACAAATTTGTTCTATCGTCTTGTGAGGCTTCCACACTTGTGGCCCCTTCAGCTTTCTCTTCTCGGTCCTCCGCTGTTTCGTCATCGTTGTGTTGTGAAGGCGTCTCTATTTGCTCTTCTCCTTCCACAGAGCTTGGTATATTATCTCCCTTGTTTTCAAGAACTTCTTCTTCCCCTACACCTAGATCTTGGGAGATGCCGCCGTTATCTCCTTCCTCCTTCCCTTCGTCTGTGGCTTCAGCACCCTCCCCCAGCTGTTGTGCTGTTTCTGCCTCACCAGACGTCTCTGTCTCCTCACTGGTCGCTACTTGCTCTTCGGCACTCACGTCTTCAGATGTTTCTTTATTGTCTCCCTCACCGTCATTCCCTCCTCCGGCACCCTCGAGGTTTCCCTCTGTGACAAAGAAAGCTTCATTCTGATCATCTTTGGCCGCTTTTTCATTGCCATCATCACCATTGTCATCACCATCATCAGCAGCATCACCATCATCTGCAGTATTGTCACCAGACTCTCCCTGCAGGTTCTCACCACCAGTCTCCCCCAGATTTCCGTCTCTCTCCGCCTTCTGCTCATCTCGCACCTCGTTATCGTCCTCTGATTCCCGCGACTTGGCGGCTGTGACATCACTGGCCTCAACCGCCATGCTTGTATCCTGAGACACGTCGGTCTCCTGACCTATCTCCACGCTCTCGTCGTTCGCCGTGGAACCCGAATCCTCTGTGAGTATGGCCGAGAAGAGCTTTTTCTGCCTGCTGTCTACATGTCTCGGGACGCCTTTCTCCGGTGGGAACGGCAATCGGAAAGCGTTTTTCTCTGACTTTTTCCCATCGCCGTCCGCTTCCTTGAGAGCCTGCACGCGTGGGTTGGCCGACTTTGGCCTGCGTGGTGACTTGGATATCATCGGGTTCATCAAGCCGTTGTTCTGAGCGTGTTTTGCGCTGCTGGGTCGCTGTCTCAGCGATTTCTGCGCGCCCGACACCTCGAGAAAATTGGTCGTCTGAGTTTCCTCATTGTCCGACTTATCCGCGCCGTAGTCCGCGCCTCCAAAAGACTTGTTGACCTCGTCATTGATTTTGCGTATTCCCGTGTCGACCCTCTTCCGCCCGTTCTTGATGTTGTCAATTCTCCGGCGGGCCACTTCCGGGACGATTCTCTCCAACTCCGGGTCGGATCTCGCCATGGCCTTCTGGCGCGCGCTCTCCTGGCGCTTGGCGTAGTTCTCCTCCCGCTTCCGGAGAAGCCACTGGTCATAAGACATCCTCATCTTCTTTGCCTTCTCCTCCTCCATCTTCTTCTCCGTCTCCCTCTTCTCTTTCTCGCTCCTCCTCGCATCCTCTTTCCTCTCTTGCTGAAGCTTCATCAGTCGCACTCTCCCAGACACAGGGCGCTTGTACACAAACTTGGACTTTGGCGGCTCGGCCGGAGCCACGCTACCCTCCCCACCACTCAACGCACCGCCCGTCTGCTCCCCATCGTCTGTCTTTGGCCTCTCCGCGCTGCGCGCCCGGAAGATGTTGGAATAATCCGGCTGCATCTGTCTCCGCTTCTCTTCCTCCTCCGCCTCCGCCCTCCTCCTCCTCCTGTCCTCCTTCGCCTGTCTGTACGCCTCCCTCCTCTTCTTGCTCATCCACTCTTTCACTCTCTGCTCCGCCTTCTCCAGGTGCTCTTGCTTCTTGTTTTCCTGCATCTGTTTCTGCGTGCGCTCCTCCCTCTTTTTCTTCCTCTCCTCTGCTTTTTGCCTCCGGTGCTCTTTGTCCTTCTGCTTGAGCCACTTCCTGAGGGCGGGGTTGCTGCTGTTCTTGAGGTGCGTGTCGGATGGCTGGACCGCCCGGCCCGGGGACCTACTTCCTGACCGGAGCCTCTCCTCCCCGTCAGAACTGGCCTCGTTCTTGCTGTAATCCTCGCTCCGCACGCTATTTCGGAAACTATCGCTCGTGCTTCGATCGCTGTCACTCCGGACAACTTTCCCACCACCATTTTTCCCCAACCGGTCCGAGTTTCGGTCAGCAGCAGCTCTGGTCAGTCTGCGTCCAGCGTCAGACGTAGAGGGTTCTTCCTCCCTCCGCGCGGCGGTCGTGGCAGACGCTGGTCGCCGAGTACCCGACTGTGGTCGTCTGTTGCTGTTGCTGTTATTGCTGTTGCTGCGTGTGTGGGCGTGGGCTGTGGACGGTCTGTTGGTGGTGGTGGTGGTGGTCATTCCGCCGGCTCTGTTGGTGGTTGTGGTCACTCCGCCCACTTTGTTGGTCAGCTGCACCGTTCTGATGGTGGCGTACCCATTCTCCGTGTTTCCCTGGC